ACCAAACATATCCGACTTGCGGGAAGCATATCTGTAGCGAGACATTGTATCTTAACATCGCGATTAAAGTAAACGATATCTCGCTACAGCGCCATCTGTTAGGGTGTAGCAGAAACGGCGCCAACAATTATTATTCTATAAAAATCTTAATTGAAATTTTACAATAACATTTCCATATAAAACATTTACATATTGTGCTATGTTTTTCAGAAAATTTCTACAACGTTTAACATATTGTTGTCTTATTTCATTCAAAGAGTATGAGTAGGATGGCTATATGTTTCAATACAAGTGTACCGACAGTGGGGACACAGTGGGCCCGCCCACACGCACCGCACGCAGTCACATTCCACTCACTCACGCACAGATTATTTTGTTATAACGCGGTAATGTAAATGTATTATAACAAGTGAAGTTCAAGTTACTTTGTCAAGTCGCATGACATTTTTAAGTTTATTTCGAATTGATTTTAATACTGCTAACATTCTCACAAACAGTTAAAGACTCGACTAAAAATAGTACCAATCCAAAATAATAACTGCAACATTTAGCATATTATGAGAAGTTAACTCATTTTATTATATAATTAAAGTTAATATTAAAGTAATTCTGTATTTATGTACAGTACAAGTGGGGTAAATACATTTACGTATTTATATGTGTATAATGTTAAGTAAGTTGTCATAAGAGGAGGCGCGTGGGCGCCGACCTGACTCACTGTTAGTTCATTTCGCGGACAAAACCAAACGCGGACAATTATTAACTATACCAATACTTTGGTAACATCACAACACTACCGCGTCACGTGGCCATTGTCAAGATATGCATTCGTTAAACGAACAACTGTAGGATAAATTAAATAATTAAAATTAGTGCGCGGGAGTAAGTTACACTATTTAACTTATTCCTCGCTGACAGAGTTGCATGCAACCGCTAGTCTTTAGAACTAAATAGCAAATTCCAAATGCATTGCAAAATTATTATAGTTAAGTTTACGGAGTGTAAGTTTTCGTTTTGTTGCACGTATAATATAATATAACTTAAACTAAGGCATTTTAAAATAATGATTAGGTATACGAGTCAAGTAAAGGGAGCAGTGTGGAAGGTTCCGTGCAGCCAGCCAGTTCGTCAGTGGAGCAGCTCGCGACGCATAAGGCAATATCCTTGCGGCACTCGTCACCGGCCCACGACAATATTAACCTTCATTATTCTCGCGCAATGCAAATCTAATAATGCATTCAAATTGTAATTGCCCTTCACATTCACTGACCTAAGATCAAGTAAACTCGCCATTGAAAAGAATTACATCAGTCGTCAACTCAAAAACGACTTACATCACGAAGGGCTCCACCCTCAGACATGACAGAATACTACGTTATTTATTCAATTTGAAATCTATGGAATAGGTTACGCTTAAAATTGTTTTTATATCGGTTAAATGCAAGGAACTGTGTAATCTGATTTAATTTATATAAGTTAGTTGCACTCGATAATAATTAACTCGCTTTGCATATCCTGTGCGACCAGTCCCCC